AGCTTCCTTACGTTTCATATGCTTTTTACTCCGCTAGTCCACTGAAGGTTCGTGTGTTGTGCACGCCCTTTTATAGTAAAGGTTGAGGGAAACTTGCAGACGTCATCAACCAGAGTGGGCTGATCCTTATCCAACTAATCAGCGTTGTTAGTTAGAAATGGGGGTTGGCGTTAGAAGCTCGTTCCAGCTCTCATATCTCGTTTGTATAAGGCGTTGACGCACTAGTCGAGTTGGTCTTTAGCTCTATCGATCAATACTTTCAAATGTACACAACTTAAAATATTTATCCTCAACAAGCATTAAAGTTATCAAACATTGTTTCTGTGAACCTTATTTTATAACTTAACTATTTATTCTACTATCTTAATCGAATTAAACTTTCTCTGACGTAACCCTTAAAATGCTCGACCGCGCATTATAAAAAACACATTTGATTGACATAAGAGCTTCGCAGCTGCCTCAAGCGTGCATATTTTCAATTATGACAGTTAAACTTGGCAACGACATACGACTGTTGATCCAGATGCGCACGTTCTGACAGGATGATTGATATTTTCACCTTACTACTTTATTCAATCCCACGAAATGTCATGCATGAAAGGAAATGTGATTAATGATTGCGAATGGGCCGAAATTATATTTACTCAGGCATCTTGTTGCAAAACTTAATCACTAATCCCTGTCATGCTATTGATTTTCCTATTTTTACAGCTATTTATTCTATTTTTACATGCATATATCTAAACACAATAAAGCCTTGCGTAACATCTCATAAACCTCTGTGAGTACAGACAGGAATGAAATTGGCCGATAATGACCGTTTCCACAAGGATCGTCTACTTTAGGTATTGGGCTAATGCAGGCAGTTTTCCATGAAAATGGGAATGTTTTCTTTCCGATGGAATTGTTAATTATATGGGTAGCTCGAGACGCGAGATAATCTGCGACAAGTTTAATAAATTTGCAAAGGTTATTATCCGGGCCAGTAGAACAGTCGGATCTTAGTTGTTTGATCTAATTCAACACATCCCTATGAGTAACTTAGCGGAATTGTAAAGGCGAGTTTGAGTCCTGTGGTAATGAGGTTAAAAATGAGTACAAATCATCTATTTCTAGTGGTGTCGAGGCTGCGACGCGCTCATGGCTGTTGAGGCAAAATGTTCATTTAATTGATTCGCAGAGATTGAGGGTTGGGATGCAATATACGACGAATTGTTTTCCATACGTCTTTTGGTCTCTTTGACGAGAGTGCTTTCTCTACGAATACTGTTTTAGCCTCTTTTATAACCTTCTTCATTGGTTTCGAATAGATCGAAATTTGTGCCGATTGTCTTCATTATGTGGACTCTAATGCGATTCATAGCGACACTGCTTGCACTGTTTTTGGAGAAAAGATTAAGCGGAAAGATTGTTCGTTTTTTCCTACTTGGCATCGTTTTATATTTATAAAATTAGTATTTCTGCAAACTAATACCTTCTATACTGGAAACTAACTAAAAAAAAATTATGCCAAAGTCCTTTAACGTCAAATTTTGCAAATATCGAGTACGCGTACCTAATCTATAGGATTGAAGAAATGCTATTAGCTAGGTTAAGACACGTGCTAAAATGCTATTAGCTAACAAAATAAACAAACGATGACTGATCAAATTCGTTAAAATATTTTGTTAGTCTAGGACCTGCAAAGGAGTTTGTATGCATTTCATTTAGGACAGATTATATCAATTGTTTTAGGGTAAAAATTATTAATGACCATAGCGGTCAACATGGCATATGTACCAAAATCTGAATCCGGGACGAAAGTCCTGAGAATGACCACACACACACCTCTAAATCCTGAATTATCAAAGCTACAGTCTTTCTGAATTGTCTATATCGTTCAGAATGGTTGCTTTTAGGGGTGGTCACTGGAGGATGAATTAGCCTAAGTTTCATATATTTTATAAGAAAATGAATATTAACCATTCCATGCAGGAAAACTGCTAATAGGTAAACCACTAAAACACGATTTTAACCATATTATGCAAATTTTGTCGCAGTTTTTTGCCGTGCATCGCAAGCCCTGTCCAAATATTGTACTTTAACACGATTCTTTATAATTCACAGTCGTTATAATTCACTATTTTACTTATAAGGTGTAACTACGAATCAGAAACATTGCAACTAGATTTCGTGTATGATTTTAGAACTTTGTTCAGTTAAAAATCTCTGAAAACAGCATAAATAGTGTCAAAAGTCAAGTAACCTTAGAACTACCTTATTACTCCGGCGTCAGGAACGGAGTTGAAAATTCGCCTCGGCTTTTTACTTCGGCGTCAGCGACGGAGTTGAAAATTCGCCCTGGTTTTGTTTCGTTGGTTTTTTTTTTTTTTTTATTTTTCGTCGTCGCAAGTCTGAATGGCGCGAAACATTGTTGTATTTAAAATGTGTATGTAACCGTATTTATCTACGTCCCAGTCTTATCTGCTAAGAGTTGTGGTGCACATTAGCTTTGGCTAATTTTCCGATGCGCGCGATTCGATTTCGCTCGCATGATACGGCAATTCCTCCAAGAGCAACAAATAAACCGTTCTTTTCATGCTTTTCGACTAAGTTTAGATTGAATTAGGGTAAGAATATATTTAACACATGTAGATTTTGGTCCTATTTTAATAATATCGCTGCTATTTCGCCGTTTAACAAGATGATGTGGTCGTGTATGGGCGCGTTGAACGTCGTAGTTTGCACAGGATTGAACATTTAATATAACTATATAAGCGCGAATTCCATCTATACTAGATTCAACTTCTATACTTTTTAAAGTACAATGTCCTTTTGAATTTCGCGATCAAACATTTAGGTTCGCAAGGCATCTAAATGCGAATATGAACTGTATTGTTTATGTTCAGAAGCTCTATATTGAAGACTGGCACGTGCGCCGGAGTTAACGCCAGAACAGGCGTCTTGTTTAAATTTTTTTTCGTCGTCGCAAGTCTGTTTTGGCGCGAAATACACTAGTATTTGGAATGTGTATGTGACCGTATTTATCTACGTCCCAGTCTTGTCTCCCACGAGGTTGCGGTGCACATCTTTGGCTAATTTTCCGATGCACGATTCGATTTCGCTCGCATGATACGGCAACTCCTCCAAGAAAACAAATAAAGCGTTCTTTTGATGCTGTTCGATTAAGTTTAGATTTAATTGGGGTATTATTTAAGAGGAGATATTTTTCTATGTTACCTCAGTTATATCTTCATGCAACAGCACTAAAATTTTGAACATTAGAAATGTTATGCAAACCTGAAAAGCATCCACAAAGTATGTTTAGTGTATAATCTCAAGATATTGTGAAAATGAAAAGATTTCTCGGGATACGCAATGAAGACAATGACGCTTGAATCGAAGCTTCTTTTGTATTCATTTCCGTTATAATGGCGTTGACATTACGTATAACAATGTTGATAGCCGAATTATATTTTCTAATAACTCCTTTGTTTGTGTTTTGCATTCACCAAATACAGTTCAAAACTTAGTTCACAACATAATCTAAAGAATAAATTTAAAATAAATTTGAGCGGTACGCCGAAAAGATTTTAGGTTTTGAGCGTTTTCCCGCCAAAATACGTGACATAATAAAAAATATCCTCTTAATACATGTAGCTACATTTTGTCCTATTTTAACAATATCGCTGCAATTCCGCCATTTAACAAGATGTGGTCGTGTATGGGCGCGTTGACACGTCGCAGTATGCACAGGATTGAAGATTTAATATAACTGTATAAGCGCAAATTCCAAAGGCAAAATGCAAGACAAAGTGAATGTATCATGCGGTTTATTTACATTTTGGAACAATTGAACTTGTATATTTTTTTTTAAGTACGATGTGCTTCTGAATTTCGCGATCGAACATTTAGGTTCGCAAGGCATCTAAATGAATATGAACTGTTTTGTTTATGTTCACGTTCAGAAGCTTTATATTGAAGGACTGGCACGTGCGCGGCACGTCGGAGTTAACGCTAAAACAGGCGTTTTGTCTTATTTAAAAACGAATTTATTAAAACGTTTCATTTAAAAACGCTCACTCAAAACGCACACTTGTCAAATATTTAAGAGTAATTGCAAGTCCAAAGAGGTCATTTTCATATACGCAAAGTGGCATGAAAAGAGCTCCTTTCCATATACGCGTTTTTCTTACGCACGCGCACGCAAAAAAATTATAAATCCTTAAATATGTCATATCTGAAAAAGCTAGGTGAATAAATCGAAAAAACTTAGTTTTCAACATGTGATTTTAGTATACATTTGTTGACCCATGTTTTAAATAATTAAAAAAATTAAAAGCGGAAGCCAGCCTAGAAGGGCAAAAGCGTGTAGAATTTTGAGGGAGGGATTGTTTAATTTTTAACTAATTATTAATTGGGAAATAATCGAATAGACATCTCATACCTGACAGTTGCAGTCAATTTTTCATTCTTGCCATCTTGAATAACGACTAATGTCATAATGGTATAAAACTAGTTCCATGCACGCGGGTGTGAAGCGCAGAGGGTAGAAATTTCGCGCGGAGATTTTAATTTTGTTTAACGTGTCATGGTAAGGACAATACAATTCGATTTACAAACTACGTTCCTTAGAGGGGGACAAAATTGGGTCAGAGGGAGCGCTTGAAATGTTCAAAAAGCATGGGAATAAATTATTTCAGAATCCTGGTGAAACATAGATATCCTGCAATATTTCCCAAAACTAAAGGCTCTTACAGACGAACAAGTTATGTAACAAGTTTTAATTGTTCGTCTGTACGCCCAAGATTTGGAACAAGTGTACTTGTCATAGAAAAATTTGACATGAAAGACCTGAAACTTTTAACATTCCACAAACCTAACTCATGCAGTCACAAATAATTGATGGCATTTCTTTATCATAACTTTATACATACTAATACCTTTATATATAGCTAAACATTTCAAAATTCCTATTAAAAAATTATTATAACGGAATTTTTTAAAATGAATCAAATTGCTTTTATTTTAGGAAGATAAACCTTTAAACATATATATCTACGGGCATTTTATCTCCAATGTAAAAAGAATACATCCTTGCAATGAAGTATAACGCCATGCAATAAATGCCAGAGGCATTAGAAATGGAAGTTTGAAAAGACTTCAGCCGTTTTGGCAAATTTGAAATTCATGGTAAAAATGTCGTGTCGTGAGTCTCCAAACAGTGTTCGCGCAGCTTATCGGCCATCTCTTTTAATGGCAAGTTATTAAGAGAATTGATCAATTCGCTCACCAACGCTTCAGTGCCAAAACGTTGCTTCCACTTCAAAAGTACCTGAAAACCACACTCTAGTTGTTTGAGGAAGTCAGCATCGATATTTTCAATTTCCGCTTCTTTTACGTGTAACTTTCTACCAAGTTCTTTCCAGTGCCCACCCAGGCCTTCGGCAACCAATTGAAGACAACATTCTTGAACACATACTGCTGGAAAAAGTGATTCAAAAAGACGTAGAAAGGTATAAAACACGGTGATTGTAAAAATTCATTTAATAATCTTAATCCAAAATTTGAGTATGCGTTGTATTTGAAATCCGAATTTCGCCTGCATTTTCCACTGCTTCTCTTGTTACGAAGTCTGTGACGCCAGTGACGGTGCGGTCATTTCGCATGCAAGGAACGAGTTTCATAGATTCTAGATTCTAATTGTGTTGATTTAATTGATTGTTTAACAGCAGGCCGGTCTCTAAGGTGATTGACTTGTGTGCTGAAACAAAGGGTAGGGTCGCAGCTCCTCGCAAGAATGATTTTCAATGGCTGAATTTTACAATACATTTCTGTTTCAACCAATAGCATAGCTTCGTTCTTTAGAAAGCATAGAAAAGCATTATCCAATTCGACGAAAGCCTCCGAGCACTGCGACATGTCCCCAAACAAAAAATAAAAGGCTATAATTATCCGGCTTACCTTGATAAAAATTTGGTGCATTTATTTCTTTCTCTTGGCTTGATACGCATTCATTTTCATCCTGTAAATATTCAGAAATATCATTTTATATTTTAGGTTTGAGCTGTATTTCAGCTAAATTATTAATATCTTTGTAGCAGAAAGTCATATCCACTGGGAAATTTATAAAGTTAATTTTCGCAGTCAAGATATACTTATATTATTATAGCGCGGTTATAGTAGCTCATAGAATGGATTTTGACATGCAGCGGGACGCAGAAGATGGGTAATTAACCACATCCCATCACGAAAATATTTTTATCTACCTCATCTAGAGCAACTATTGTTGGATCCCACTTCTTCAAGTCTTCGCTTATATCGACCTCTTGACACCAATAAGGTGGATCAAACGAATCTAGATTCAAATGAATGACGTGACATCGTCGCTCATTTTGGCGGTCCACAGGAAAATCGTTCACTTCAGGAATCACGTCCGTTTTCTCATCCGACTCGTCGTCGCTGGATTGAGAACCCGCTGCATCATCACCGGATTCAAAACCCGACTCACAAGGTCGCTGTATGCTTTCATAATGGAACGTGGCGCCTGGACAATCTTCTCGTGGACAAGGAGGCCCAAATGCGAACTTCAAATACTTGAAATATTGTTGTGATATTTCGTATACCATTTCTTTAAGCATACGTGCCAAGTCAAGAAAATTTTCATTCTTTTGACACCTGAAATGAAGAGAGAATATCTTCAGATTAATTTTCTAGTATAGTTATGCCCGATTTCAGGGCTTTTGAAGCAAGTAAACAACCTCAGAACATATTAATCTATTTTTTTTAACTGTGTAAATATAAAAAACGTGATTGGCGGAGGAGTGTTCCACATGCAACGGGGCCAGTGTTTCTTAATTGTCTAGCCCGCTGTAAAAAATGTGAATTTTATATGAATAGCTACAAGCACATTAAGCACAATAATTTTTCAATCGATTTGCCGTCATTAGTTGCGGTGGTAAAATTATCTGGATATCATATGAAATTTGACGTCGAGACATTTTCTTGCATATTCCAGGCAGATGGTGAACCGATTCGAGACGACTATTTAAAGCTTAATTTTGCGAAATCATAACGTATAAATCATAATAATTTATTATTATTATCGCAGTTTTATTTAGTAGAATTTGGTTTTGTTTAAATTTCGTCGCAAAAAAAACTGAGTATATGCGGGTTGAATGCAGGCGTGTTAGCCAATTAAATGCCTGCTACATCGTACTCATTTTACTAAGAAATTTTGGGAAGTCCTTGGGAAGGGCAAAAGGAAGAATTATGTTTTTGTTTTATCCTTGAAGAAGTGGTTAGTAATGATGACGTCGTAACTATAGGCAATGCATAAACAAACCAAATAAGTAAACAAACCTGGATTGAACCCAGATTTGGCAATCTTTTAGCACCAACTTCAAGCGAAACAGGAATTTGTTGGACATCGAAAAAATTGCTGTGCGTCTTTTCAGGATGGGTTCAAACCCTTTCTGGAAGCAGGTTCGGCGATAAATGTGAACTAACAAGTAGTCAAACAATGCTGGTGGAAGATAGCGGCCAAAATCGAACACAAACTTGTCTTCTTCATCGGTAACGTTTTTCCACTTTTCGCAAGCTTTCATCCATCGCTGATCATCTTGTTCCTCGGATTTATTTTTCAACATACAAGGTATTATGTACTCTTTCGCTTGTGTTTTCTCTTCTTTTAAATCCGTATTACTGATTGGGTAGAGAATATTGAAACATGACAACAATTCAACAAGAACCTCTCCTTCGACTTTTTTATCCCTCCAAATATGTTCTAGAACATGGCTATCGATTCGACCTTCCGATTGCAACTTTCCAAATTCGTCTGAGAACTGACGCTGGAGAGATCGGTTTTTCGGGGCGTCATGAATGCTTGTCATTATGTCTACTAGGTACTGTGGAGACAAAATCACTAAATCTTTAACCAAAGAGTCCTCTTTAACGCCACACATATTTCCTATAATCCCGCAAAATAACATGCATTAGTAGAAATGTCAGACAATCAGTGCATGCTCTGAGTTGGTGCGTGGTAGGAGGCTATTCACCACGTAATATTGGAAGTTTAGTTCAGATTTCTTTCTAGTGTATTTTAAGGAAAAAATCTGCAGAATATACTTGAAACAGAAAGATCGTCGCGAGCAAGATGAAAGTTTGAGAGGTGACTAAAGTACAAAACAACAGTTATAGCTTTCCGTACGCTGTGCGTGGGTTTTAACGTTGAAGGATTTTATTGGCTAACTCGCACTGAGCGACCAGGACGCTTATATATAGGGCAGTGCAACGAAAGACCTCGTGCTGATCGATGTGTGATGCGGAAGTAGCCTGAGGCGAGCGTATTTTTGATGAAAAATGCAATTTTGTCTTGTTTATCTGTCCATAATGATCGCATTTTTCAAAGTGAAAATGCATTTACTGGATACAGTATTGTCCAGAAATAACCTAACACTGTGGTTGCGGTCGAACGATAGAAACGACCGCAAGGGAGAAAATACGATTGCGGTTGCCTTTACCTTCAAATACCTTCCGAACAAAATTTTATGACCAAATCGAAAAAATATTCAGTTTAAAAAAAGGTTTATCCTCCGTCTCACCTCGGTTCAACCGTGATCAGATCGCGAGGTTTGATCTTTTTAGGTTAATTCTGGACAGTACTGTATGATTGTGTAAAATAACTATGGCAATGGGATTTTATACATTGAATGTAAAAAAAGCGTAATTTGAGAGAAAATAATATATGTATCCTACATAGTCATTGTCCCAAATTTCCTATAATTATATAGCTAATAATAATAACTAGCTACTATTTTATAAAGTATAACTGCACATGTATAGATTTTAAAATTTGGTAGGGTGCATGAGATGGTGCTCTATCCACTTACCTGGTAATAAAACTAGACCACTATCATGAAAAAAAGATATCATGGAATAAAATTCTTCTTCAGTGAATTTCACCATACATCTTTCTTCTAACAACTTCTTAAGTTCATTTGACGTCATACACAAATTAGCATCCGCATTTTGTCGGTGCTTTATGATTTCCTCTTCACAGTGAAGCCACTTGAGGGGAAACTTTTCATTTATAAACAAATCATTTGTTAATACATCATGTTTAATCACATTTTTCAAATCGGTAATCCCTTCGTCTTCTTCGCTTTCCGAATTCTCGACGGCAAAAACGAGTTCTCCGTTAAAACCCCTTACAAGTCGCTGTCCAAACATTGAGGCAAAATGCTTTTCGCAAAGCTTGTTTGCTTCTTTGATGTAATTTGGGTTCTGCAAGAAGCAAAGATTATTATTACAACTATAATTAATTTATAAACTTAATTAAAGAATAAAAATATTGTTTCATTTTAATGGCGGTGAAAAAAGAGTCCATGGACGGTGGAAAAGTGATTCTTTTTGATCCGAACAATGTACGTTGCAAACGGCCGAGAAAATATCAGAACAACATTTTAGTTTCTTTGTGATCTGATGCAATAAACAATTGCTCAAATATAGAACGTCTACAATCTTGTGAATGCATGATGTCGCAAGGAAACCGTCATATAGCTGTCACAAGAATCGATGCCATATAACAAGGAATATTAAGGGCCTTATTCCGCTATTTTCGCGTCAGTTCCAGTCGAAAACATGCACCGCACAAACGTTTCCCTGGGAGGCATGGGCATGCATGATATCTAAATACTGGCATCATTGCTCAGAAAGCATGGTCACATATTGAACAGCAAATACTCTTACTTTGATTCATTTTGTTTGGAGAATGAGTTCAATAGGTTAACTTGTATTGAATGCAGAAATATCCAAATAATAAATTAAAGAAAAGTGTTTAATTCATATAAAGAATAGGACCCAGAAGTAAGGAGAGAATTGTTAATGCCAGTAACTATAAAATTGGGTTTGGTAATAGAAAAGTTTGACCTGGCACTCGATAAGAAAAGTTTTAACTGGCGGACGACATGCATATGGGCCTTACCATGCACTTCTTTCATCCCATCGGTAAAACCAAAAATCATACTTACATGTAACTTCGCTTTGTGCGTTCCGACTAGAATGACAGGAGTTGATGCTGATGTGTGACTAGCAATTGAGTTCAGCCAATAATGTATACGACAAAGGCAATTTTGAGGCGATTTAACCATCTTCTTCAAATTGAAGACCACTAAATATAAACTTCTGTTGTTCATAAATAAATGGTGCATAGGCTCGTAGAGGTGATGACCAGCAAAATCCCAAATATTTACTTTAACGCTTTCACTTTCGTTCGTTTTTTTTAAGAGATTTTTGGCGATGAGAGACGCAGGTAATTTTCGTGGACTACCTTCCACAGAAATTGAAGGGTCTGTTATTAATACCTCCGAACACGTCCCTTGCCGGGTTGGTATAGGTAAATATTGACCAGTGGAGGCCACTGGTGTCAGGATTTGATTGACATTAAATTCCGTTGGAGATGGCGGGAGTTCAGGTACACGTCGGCCAGGTATTTCATTCTTTTCCATGTTTCCTTTCAAAGTATCCGACACAACTCGGGCAATGAGTTCGTCAAGATGAGAATCATTGCTATTAGCAAGTTTCCACGGAACATTTAATTCTGTATTTTGCACAATAGATCCAACGAGAGACGTCGTTGCAATGCCGTGGGTTTCTTCCCGGGTTTCTACGAACGGCTGTCCGCTAAGTGATCTAATTAAACTTGTCTTTCCGGCTCGAACATCCCCAACGACAATTATTTTCAACCTCGAAACAGACGATGTGCCTTCCTGTAACGCTGTCTTGAAGGCGTTGATGGCTTTTTGACCCCGAGCTATTACTTCACATGGCAAGATATTGGGAGAAACTAGAGTTTTGAAAGACAATACACAGTGTCAAAAACGTACTTGGCTTCTACAAACAAATCTTATATAAGGATAATTGTAGCTACATAATATACATGATTTCTATATCATCATAAATTTTACGCCCTTTCAAAAAGTTTACTCTCATATACTCATCGAGTATAAGAAATTGCATTTCTACTAATCAAAGAGATTTTTTCCTCAGTGCCAAAACTTAAAGCATAACATTCAAAATTAAATCCTTCGTCAAGCAAAAACATTGTTATGTTCATGGAATAGCTATGCGAGATTACTCATACTAAAGCCTAGTTTGAGTGAGTATTAAAATATTACCAATCAGAAAAAAGATAGGTGATCGCCTATCTTTTAATAGTTTTATTTTTAAGTGTGTAAATGAATCTGATTGGCTGAGAAGCGTTTCACAGCGGGCCGGAATTTTCTATCCGGTCCGCTGTGAAAAATTTAAACAAAACGACAACACTAAAGCAACATACGGCTAAAATGTGGTGATAATCAAAAGCGGTGATAATGTAGTGATAGTACCTTGGCTACAATCTGGAATTTTCACGATAACATTCGATTTGCTTTCAGACACGCTACATGAAGAGTCTTCGCTTGCATCACTCCTGTCCTCAGCAACAGCCTGGAAATCTTGAATCGGGCAAGGGACGGCTGGACACATTGCTAAACTTGCTATAATTATGTGGAGTAAATTAATTGTAAACAACACTACAACAGATAAGCCCTCTTATGGGATCGTGCAAGTAATTACTGTACTTGTATTAGGGAGCCCGTTTAGCAGTAACTGGGAATACGACCTCGAGTAAGACATTCGTCATTCTCGCGTGTTGTTTGTTTACGCCATCAGCTAAAACTCGTAGTCGCCGAGCTTTTAAGAACGAGCTTTTGACGAATTCGTATTTAAAACCCAAATTTCACGAGTTTCGTCAGATTGCTAAGCCAGAGCACTAGTGCTGCGCGAGAAACAAATGACGAATTTTGTATACTCGTAGCCGTACCATATATAGTCGCTGCTCATTTACTACCACTGTATACCGCTACTACACATAGTCGCGCGACGCGAAGCGATATCTGTGATTTGGTTTGCGAAAGAATTCGCCGTGAAAAAGTAGAATCGCTTCATACTTTTCATCAGTTTACGCGAATAAATTCGCCAGGAAAAACTCTTGAAAGAATTAATATTCACACTACGCGGTTTATCATTTCAGCAGTTGTTACAGTTTCATTGCACAATACCATTGTCACTATGGGAAACAGGAAAAGTATTTTTGTCTTCAGTGGAAGAACTTTCGTCATCAATTTCGGTAACTTCAGCATGACTGTGAAAGTTGTACTCTGTTACGAAAAGAGAAACAATGTATTTAGTAATAAAAATGTACGAATTTCGACCTTCGCAGTGGTTGTTTGCTGCCGAAAGAAATGTTAAATCGACAACACAAGAACCAAATCGAAAAAATCTTAAGAAATGTCAGTCAGACCGAGTAAGACCGAGGTTTAACCTCCGTTTCACGGTTGTTCGACCTCGTGACCTCGGTTCGACCGCGATCAGACCGATGTTTAAACTAGGTTAACCGCGGTTTTTGTTAGGTTATTTCTGGACAGTACTGTAGCTGTTGTCATCTCCTCCGTTGCCAGTGTAAGGATCAAAATGGTACGATGTTATTAGAATATCTTAATATTGACATTATCGAAGAGTTTTGCATAGAAATTAAACTAATACAGCATATGGCTAAATTCTTCAATTCATGAAAACAGAAAAAAATTCTTTTTCGCTATGAAAGAAACAGCAAAGTTCGGAAAACTATGTCAAAGCTATTTGTTATGTCGATCCAGTTACTGTGTAATTAAAAAGGTTCTGGTATAGAAGTAATTAAACGATCTAGTAAAATTAAAATGAGTTATTTTATGTTCCTCAAGCATACTGCAGTATTTCGGCTAAAAAAATGAATATTTTGCTTACACCATGCAAGTGCGTGTCCTATAACGGTCTCGTTGATATCGGAAGTGAGTATATTCGCGTTACTTAAACGATTGGCATCCGGTCTACATAAGGTACGTACGACATTTTCGTATCCAATCAATAACACACAAGCTTCAAATATTTTCATGTCGTAGGAACACTATAACGTTCCGAAGAAAACAGTCGGACATAAGACGAATATATCTATAATATATATGCATCCCCACTGCCATTAATCTTCTATAGCTATATAGCTATAGCTCTACTAATATAAAGATACAGAATATATTGCAAACCTTCCATTCCTCTCGTGAAAAATTTCGATATTCCTTTACGAATCATTGTTGCAATTTCATGTTGTATAATAGTTTCAATGCACTGATCTGTCGCCAATTCCATCGCAATCTTCCCATCGTCATCTTCTAAATCAAATCTGCCACCTTTGCTTAGCAACAATTGCAGACTGCTTGCTTTCCCGCATTTTGCCGCCAAGTGAACTGGGGTTTGACCAATTTCGTCTGCTATATTTGGATCGCCGTCTTGCCAAGAAAGCATTATTCTCAAGCATCTATATAGTAGGACAAAGTTTGGATGCGCAGTAAGTTAATAGGCAAGTGAACTCCCAGTTCCGTATAAAAAGCCGGGTAATGCCCAAGAAGAAACAAGATTGCGGTTTCGCTGGACATGTACAGAAAGAGGAGCCTGTATGGAGGGCTGTTTAGCTCAAACTAGTTCCTAGTTCCTAGGAGATTAGGAATTACAGCCGGAACCCGGGAGAACATAGCTGAATCCAAAGTTGAGAAATGCGGGTATGCGAAGGAAACGCCTGCTGATTAATGTCAGTTGAAGCTTATTTAGCGTATAGTTAAACAACGTAGTTGTTGTGCTTTTCTCCGCACCTTTGTACTGTATGTTTGGCTCAGTAATGACATACCGGAAATATTTTGCCGAATCTCCCAAGCAGAGGGTCTATAAATGATATTAATTATTCTTCAGTGTGTGTACCTGGAATATCCTTTAAATGCTGCACAATGCATCGGTGTCATACCAAGCTGATACGAAAGCTCTCCACTTTTCACAACATGAGAAGCTCCTGTCTCATTCGCATTCTCATTCTGAATAAACCTGGCGACGTCTTGAAACCTTCCACAGCAGGCAGCTTGATGAAGGTCGTACTTGTGTAATCTCTTTTGTTGTAAATGATGTATGTATCCATGTTTGCTTTGGAACTCCGCGTTACATTTTTGGCAATTGAATTTCGTATACTTCGGCTGGCATTTGTGTTTTAGGCTTTTCTTCAAATGCCAAATCAGTGCCGATGCAGTTTCAAATCTGCGCTCAGGACAGTACAGACATTTGTACACGTCACAGCAACGAGCACAAGGGCGATTTATGCTAGCAAAAGGCATAATCGTAGAAACGTTAAAGCCAACACCTTGTGGAAAGAAAGGATAAATTAAATACTTTACATCGAAGAAAAGCTTCGCAATTTTTCAAAATGCGGAAAATATAGCAAATTAGCCATGAGAAATTTTGTATTTTCTGTATCACCAGCGTACGCGCGAAAATGTGTTAGCTACTAAAATAAATTAATTAGTTACACACTTCTAGGCGTAATACAAAAGTATACAAAACTTGTACTTTGTATTTTGAAAAATTGTAATTTGTAAAACATTACGCATCCAAACTTGGCAATTTTACTAATTTAAGTATACTCTTTTGGAATATTATCTTAATTATCTATAAATGATCTAAAAAAATGATCTATAAGCTATAGCGCAAAAGGTCCTTCAAGATAAGTTGACTGTTTCTATGGCTTTTGTGTCGTTGAAATTTCCACTTCAATAATTTATATTTATCTTCCTTATAATATCGTGATGTACGATAATAAAAACCTTTGCACCAAAATCTTCGTGCTTCCCTTTATACGGCCAGACCAGACTGACCAGTCCTGTTGAATTCAGTTCAGTACAGACAGATTACTAATATTGTAGAGTGTTTCAAGAACTCCGCATTCAATTATTTTGTCATTTAAATCTGCCTAGTATGGAAAATCTAGTTTCGTCGATATACATATTTCTAAAGAAATCTCAATTCAAAATATGATCGGTTTGATCATTAATTATAGCCGCCAGTGGCGTAGCCAACCTGACGATTTGTTCCGCCATGTAAAATCCCCTTTTATATGATAAAGCGTTAAGAATATTCAAGCAATTTCATTGGTAGAGAGCCATGATCTATAAGAGGACAGACGCAGGGAATGATCTCACAGATAATTTTAACGGATTTAATCACTAATCTCTTGTTTTATTTTGTCAATTTTGTCAATCAAATTGTAGCAATACATAAGCTAGCCAATAGCATTTCCTCTTAATCTTATGGATCATGCATGCCTGATATCTGCAAAGTTTCTACTTTGACAATTTTCCAAATTGTGGGGAGAACTATTAATTTGCCTGTTTAATTTCAGAATTTTTCTGATTTCACTACAAAAATAAATAGATAATTGAACCGTACGTTGTCTGTTCGGTTATAGATACAGGGATAACATTCTTATCACAAATGGTGCCATGCATGTATGTATCTATAATAGTCATTCTGTGTCTTTTTTGTATATGTATTAAAATGAATTATAACTTCACAATTAATCTCAAAACATATCAAACGATAGAATCAAATAAAAATATAACAAATAATTATATCATAATTAATGAACTATATTGACCTGGTATTCCATAATTGTACCTATTTTGGTGTTCATTGAATGTGAAAACAATAAATTTCTAAAGAAATGAATAGTTTCATAAAAAATAGCAAAAGTTTGATTATCGATTTCTGAATGGATTTCTATTTTGAAAACCTTTCTGAGCATTAATTAATTGGCAAAATGGCATTGGCAAAATGGTTATACAGTAGTACCGTATGTAAAATGGTATTTACCTGTTATTTAATTATTACTGATTAATGAAGACTGTGCATATATTTCTTAGTAGTTTATATGCATGGATATTTGACTGAGCAGATTAACATGATTTTCTGTATTAAATGGAAATTAGCTTTTTTTAACCTAAGACATAAACAAATTGTGATAAAAAATGTAGCTTAATATAAATGAAATTAATTCACCCAATTTTAAAGATGAACAACTGTGGTATACGCTGAAATATTCTGAAATATACTATATACTGAAAGTTTAAATTATAATCAAATTTCCTGTTGGATCTGATGTGATTAAAATATGTTACTCAAATTCAATTATAATTGTGTGCACTATATATATGATGGGCAACATTGCTATACACTCCACATTGCTTATATATAATACTGACCGTAACTTTGTGTCAGTCTAAATAAAGTATAATATAAAGTTATATTTACGGTATGCAAAGTTTAATTACTATGATCCAACAAAACCTGGCTTGAGGAGAATAGTCTAATCTCCTGTTTGGATTTAGTATATGCATGTCAAACGTACTTAATGAAACCTATCACATATTGTGGCAACACAAATCATTACATGTAATATGTAAATTACAAACTAAGGAAAGAAAGTAAAGTAGAAAAATTTGTTTATAATGTTATAACTTATAAGTAATAACTGTTTACAGAAATATTGAGCTGTCTAAACTTCCAAGCTTATAGATTGTATATTAAATTTATTCACATTATATATGCATTATTAGATAGTCTAATTTCAGGTTTTGTTGGGATCCTAGTGAAGAAATTTTTATCAACTAAATTTTATGAAGAGTTATTAAAGAGTTTCGACTGGATTATAATATTAAAGATACCTAACCACACGAGGATCGTGAATTAACCGTGATAAATATATAAAATTATAATACCTAACTATATTAAATTCAGTAGAATGTTTCACATTAGTTTGATTTTCAAACTATACCCATAAATCGAATAGGAAATATATATCGAATCATAGTGAATTTAATAATAATGATACGGATTGATACCTGTGTTCTTGTCACCGCGTTTGTGTAATAATAAGGCATAACGTATGACAGTACTCCATGACTTCCAATATGAATGGGAAACAACAAATGTGTTTCTGAACAAATATTTTAAATGACTGATATATAGATACAGATATTGATGCTGTCTCTTGATATAGAAGTATACTTCGTAAATAGGATTGTCTTTCCTCAGAAAAGCAAACCGTTTCTTGGAATTTAATCGGAAGTGCGATTGGGATGCCTAATAAACTCATGAAAGGTGAGTGTCCAGTTATTGTCATATTGCGGTCAGTTTCAGACAAGCACAGCCCAGTTCACTGGCACACAGCACAGTGAACAGCCCAGCTGCCGCTGGCCGAGTGAGCTCTATAAAAACTCTCAGGTTGATGCAAGTTGATACAAACAGGATGGAGCAATGTTGTGCTGCCCACATTGTTCAGAGTTGTTATCAACATTGAACAATATTGTTGAAACTGAATCGGGTGTAACAATATTGTTCAATATTGATAACAACTCTGAACAATGTGGGCAGCACAACATTGCTGCATCCCGTTCATAACAACTTGCATCAACCTGAGCGTTTTTACGCGTGTATAATACTAGAAATACATGCATGCAACATCTCCTCGCCATTTTAAACGAACCAAATTATTATATTTCTTGAACTAGCCAGAACTTAGCCTCTAAGCTTATATTATGAAATGACATAAACCGATAGATGATGTTTCAAATTTTTCGGAAAGGCGAAGTGAAGGTGAAGTAAAATCACCCGTTTTCCTGCTGCATTTAGTCACAGTCTATGTGAGAGTTAATACTTCACTATAGCTAAACCTTAAAAACTTCACAAGAGTACAAATTAAATCCCCTAGCACTTAACGTCGAATGTTGTTTTTCGACTATTGAATTTATGCAATGATTATGTTATAAATAGTATAAACCGCGGAGTAGACCACTTGCATAATAGACCAACTAATGAACTAGTGAACAAGAACGAAATAAAAATCACAGCAAAAAAGAGCACACAAAAATTAGTAGCATTAGCAATAGATTATACCAGCTAGGGTTACTGTTAATATTTTCGCTGTTTATTCAAGTTGATAAATTTGTCTGGTCAGTGATATTCTCGTCGAACGTTTTTCAAGTTCTGTTTTATTATGGCTTTTAAATATATCTGATGACATATTATTGTTAGCTGCAGGACTTGACGTTGTAAAACTTTCAACCGTCCCACCAATTATATAGGGGGGGAGGGGTTATAGTAACCAATCACGTGTCTGAAAAAGAACACTCGTAAACGTCTTCCGGTGCAGTAAGCTCCGCTAAGTCCACTACCGATACTTTCTCTCTAATTAATTAACTTCACTTACTACACTATTACCTTGTTTGACATAACTCATAGTCAGATATTTAATAATAACTAATTATAATACTAATATCAATAAAATAGTTGGGATCAGATGAATATTGCATGCTATATTTAGATATGATTAACATTATTTGACAGGACTAATTATTAAGGTTAGGATTAGAGATAAGAAACGTACAAGAAAGTATTGTAGAAGGGTTTACAAGTTGTAGAATTATATAAAATTTACAGAGAATATGACATTGGCGACGACAATAACGGGAACAAAACGCCCAAGAGGATAGTACAAATATACGGACAGTGACATCGTCTCTTTCGATACAACCATAGCAGAATTCAACCCAGACATTGAGCTCAGTGCTAGCCTCCTCAGCAGGCATCTCTATGTATTCAAAAATATGCACATTTCGCTTGGGCTAGCTGTGTCGAGGGAGCGACAAAAAAAACGTCGCAAAAAAAACCGCATCCGTGAGATAATTATTTCGACAGTTAAATGGTACAAGGCGATGATGATGACTACGTCACTACGAGCGTGCCAAAACAAAACTTACGGAATACTTTGAACCACAAAAAGAATCGCCGTTACGAAGTATACAAATTTCGTGAAGCTAACTAGGAACAATCGGAAACTTTAGATGAATTCCATTCCCGATTACGAAAACTAGCTCAAACCTGAGGGTTGGCTGATGTTGACGTCGAAGTAGATAAACAAATAATAATGGTAGGGACTTCTTCAAGAATACGCATACAAGAAAGCCCCAAGAGATCCCGAGTACAAACTCAAAGATATCCTTATTGAAAGCGAGGGAATGACCACAGTCTCAAATCCAACAGGTCATCACCTACTTAGATAGATTATTTGAATGATAAGTCGAAAATTTGATCTTATTGTACTTTTCGGGCCTCAAAGTTGGCTTTTTTCGTGTTTGACCGTGAGGTGCTGTGAGTGGGAACTAGTTGCCCTTTTTCACCGGAAGTGACGTACATTGGAGAACACGCTAATTTTGTAAACAAGAAACACGCTTTGAAATATAGAAATATTGCAGCAATAAACTACGAAATCTTGTAGTATATAAACTTTTTGGTTCGTTTTGGGATGGTTAACCTAGGGTTAAACCATTTACCCTAGGATTATAAATGTATCTTAAGGACAAAATTGGATATAAGAACGTTTTCGATTGGTCAATAAACGAGCGTCAAAACATTAACCAATGAAAAAATATTGTCAATCAAACTATCATATGGCGCGAAGGCAGTAACGTCAGTGTAAGGTAGCGTTATCGGTATGTTCATTTGGCGAAGTAGAAACAGTTAAAAAAGATAGATATAAAAGAAAAAACTGGCCAAATTGATATCATTGATATAATTATACATCATAATAACTCAAAGACAGGTATACTAGCGAATACATAAAACTTAATACCTGCATGTTTAATGGTTAACGGATAAACAATTAAGCATAATTATACTGATCGATACAAGGAACTATGACGGATAAATAGTTGAACATAATATACTGATCAAGAGCATGTGGACGCAGACGCTAAGTTATAGCACGTTACCAGAAATTTACGACATGTTGATGGCATGCACGTATATTCAGATAGTTTAAACGATGATTTGCAGTAGAAAAAATAAAGAATACACGTATTAACTATAGCTTAAATATTCTTGCACATGCAGTAAGTCTGTTGATGTATTCCGCCGAAGGTATATGCACCTATCTGACTTTCGCGTAGCCTGGAAACAGTTATGACTAAAAATTCGTGTTTAAACAACAACTTTGTTCCCCGTAATATTTTATTGGTCTACAAGTGGCTAGCAGCTTTATCCATACTGACGGCGTATTGACGCGGGTGACGCACAATGCACGATGTATCAACTATATATAGCGTTGTATTTTACTGTATTCAACGAACGATAAAACAATTTAACAGCTTTTCCTGGGCTGTCGCAACCCTCACGCGACATATTTTCAAAAAAAATTCTGTAGGCAGATATACTTGACAATAGCGAGCACAAAATAATGTATAATTATATGCCTATTTTGTTAAGACGTAAATTTCTGGTAATGCCTATATGTAGGTCTTCTGAAGTACACGCATGTAAATAAAAGATTAAAATTGATTATACTACATATATATAGTTTTAAGTTCAACATAATTATGACGAGGCTTGATTCAAAGTTCAAATTAATTAGTTTATCTGCAAAGATAGCAATTGATTCCGCACGGACACACTTTTCTTACTAAAACTAAAAGAGATTGAAAATGTAACTTTAAAACAGTGTGAGATTTACATAAAATGTGAAATAGCATGTGTAGTTAGAAGTTTTAGTTAGTCTTGCCTTTCTCTCTGCATAATTATACATCTTAAATGGAATCACCTATAGAAATAGGCAGCAGTACAGCAAGTACACCAAAGGTAACAAGCACCGCAATAAGTATCGTCTCCTTTGATTGGCCGCTTTTATCGCTTCTTTTATCGCTTTGAGAATTGACCCCTATATAATTTGAAGACAAAAATAGAGAACAGTTAATGTTATTGAAGATCAAGAAAACGGAAGTAAATTAAATTTCGCTAAAATGGGGAGGTAGCTCTGAGTGGAAAAAAAAGCGAGGTATGGAAAAAAGGCGATCTATAACATACATGAGGTATCTCGAAATTTCCCAAATGTCAAAGTTCTTTTTCTAAAAAAATGGACTTTTTTGTGTTCAATGTTTCTCGTCTAACGTAAATTGTGGACCATTGCGGATAATTTAGAACGACTGCATGAAAACGTGCTGCTAATATAATTTGACCCACTCCATTTTGTGCAATGGGCAGTTATTTCAGACATTTAATATATGTCGAAGATCTATATAATACATGTAATCTATATAATACATGTAAGAAATTTAATTATAATTTTCGACACCGAAGAGACATGATTCTTTCCTGCTTTCGTAATGGACAGTATTCCCGTTCGTGTCTGCGCAGATTCTAACTGCGGCTAAAGTATCTTCCGCAAAATTCTTAACTCATTCCCTTAGCACTAGCAGTGCATGTTTCAATGCCTTGTTATTCAGCAGCAATGCACTTTTTCGAGCAGATGAAGCAGATGAGAATCTGCTCATATGAACATATGTTCAACTGCACATTGCACAACAAAAATTGTAAAAGTCATTACTTTTTAAACATAACAATATTCACTATGGAAGTTTGGGCCTGAACGAACCCTTAAGTAGATGAGCATGTGCATGCTCATGAGCAGTTATGGTCAATACCACATGCTCCTGTTCATTTGACGGCCTTAAACGATTTACACAACGGATAACTGCATGAAAGCCGATCAGATATGCGAACTCAGGAAATTCAGGCATGTTCGGCACAATTATTTCGCAATTGTAAATATTCTAATGTTTTGTAAATAAAGCAGCTTGGGAAACCCTTGTATCCCGCAATAACGGCACCAAATACTGCATAATATACATGCACCCGAGCGGTTTCGTTGGAAAGAAAATTCATACCAAAATGATCCACTATTTAGTACCAGGTTCACAACACAAGTGAACAGTTCAAAAGTCATGTGATTACAGAAAAACATTGTTGCATTAAAGTGACTTACAAACGTTTAGCTTACCTCAACATCTTTTATGAATATTTAACTGTTTCATATAGTCACTCATTTTTTTGTTTAGTGACTATATTCACTCTTCTTAATCGTATTAAAAAAATCTTTGCATTCACACTGTTATATCAAATGATTTTTTTTCAAAGAAAATTCCTAACGATCCGGCACAAATACACAATTTTGAATTCAACCTGTTTACATGCTTGAAGCTTTTCTGCTTGCCGATGTTTGCTGGAACATTTTCCGACCAATTTCAATCAATTCCAAAGCAAAACAAACCTCAACGTGTGGACCCCACGCAAACCATTAAAAATTCTGACTTTGCGTGTTTTTGCCGCTGGATGGGTGTATTAACTACGTACTATATAGGGACATACTATAAAGCTCTAGTATATAATTCGGTAGTATGCGTGCAGCCTTGTTATGGAACGTGTTGAAATCATTGCATCAACATTGATGATTCAACAAGCTTCAACAACATTGTTAACAATACTGTCCCCAGGGTGCAGCACAACATTGTTCACTCCTGATGCGACAACCTGATCAATTTTTGGCCGTGTACACGCGTAAAAATTGATCAGGTTGATCATGATTGTTCGATTAACAATGTCTCAACAATATTGTTATCATGATTGAACAATGTTGTTAAAGTAACAATCGTTAACAACATGTTCGAACAATATTGTTAACGATTGATGAACGAACAATACTTGTTGCAACATGTTGGAACAGGCGTCAACATGGTTGATGGAACATGCTTGTTAAATGCTGTCAGAACAACTTGTTCACGACTTGTTCGTTCATCAGGCCTGAACAATATTGTTCGAACATGCGTCAACAATATTAATGAACAAACAACCTGTTTTTTATTGTTCGAACAACCGGAAACAATATCGTTGAATATTAATTCAGAGTCGGAAGGGTTGCAAAGGGATTGAAGGGAATAATTGGGAGCTTATTTTGATTAACGATGGTACGATTGGGATCAATCGGATGCGCACGCACACCAGACTTCCAAAAGACCAAAACGTGTGACAGATATCCAAAACGACAGTGCGTTTTGGTAAATATCCGAACAATTTCGTCGTTTGTCAAGAAAATATATATTGATTAAAGTCGAAAACTACACGGAAGCTATTTACGATCGCATTTGCATAAACAGAAATCATTTTGTTCGTCCTATTTTTTGTCAGGCCGTGAGGCCGACTTTAAAGTTGTGTCACACGTGCAATCGCAGTTGTTCGAGTCGTTTGTATTGTTTTTAGGCAAGATTCATCGAAACTGTTATCCGTTCGCATTTGATCAGGTATTAAAGTTGCATGAACCATATGGTAAAACTTAGTTTTTGTGGCAAGAACTTATAATAGACTACGTGTTTCAGATTTCTGGTGTGAAACGGTTGACGTTGGTACGAAAGTTCAAAGTGAAAGTACTGTAGACATAATATATATTTTCATGTAATTATTTAATATTTATAGATTGGTAAAAATGCGGTGGACTTGGATTGGTTATAAGATAATTCTGTTCAGTCAACTATACAAAAGAAAATTTATAGTAAGTATTTAATAAATAGTTTCATTTTACATTATCACAAAAGTGATTTAATTAAAAAATATTCAACACATTTAATAATTTTAGTTCATTCCTCATTTAAAATTTCACCCCATTGAGATGCAGTTGGGCCTCGGCTTCCATATGTTGTATCTTTCCATGTTTGGAAGTTAATCCAAAATTTCTCATCTTTCTTACAGTCATCTCTCCCATACTCAGCAACATAGATTCTCTGGGAAAAGGAAGGATAATATGGTAATAGTTTGATATAGTCAAAAAATGAAAATTGCTCAAGATTGACTCATCATTGTCTAATCTCAAATCACTTTGTTCTCTTTAGCTTATACATGTATCATATGGTTATGAGGATAGAGATGTCTATAGTTTTTATTTTTGTTGCATATTGTGCTTATGTGAGTACATTTATTATATATGTCTTTTGATAAAGAATTGATGTGATAACTAACAAGGCTTTTCAAAATGCAGGAGTGCAAAATACATCAAATGATGATAAGCATTAATATCATACCACCAGAGCAGTTTCTCGAAGCACAGACTTCTCCAGTAAAGAGTTGAACCTCACTCCTAGAAGGCCACATATTTTCGAAGCCAACTCCTTGGTTGTGGCCTTTGCAAGGGCAGACCAGTTACCTATTCCAAGAACCTAAGGAGCCAAAGTGAGTACATTTAATTCAAATTTTCATCACTATCATTTACAATCATGATTTAAAATTTGGATTTATAAATGTATACCCTTCTTCTCTCTTCTGCTCTCCAATAGGTGAATTTTGCCTTTTCGAAGACATCCACTTTGGTCATTGCTTCAGCAACTGTAAGACCATATGGTGAGTCCTGGAACTCCATGTGCAATTGCTCCTATGTAAAAACCAAACCATTACATATACTGTTTAAAACATAAAGTTAATATATTTTTCATAGTAAATGAACATAGAATTTACTAAAAGTAAATATAATACAGTTATACAGATATAGGCTTACAGTCTTGCTTTCATTTATCTTTGAAAACCGCCCAAGTTGTATATAGGCTTTTGCTAATATTTTCGTGACATTTGCCTGTTATATAAATTTTGAATTTATTGTTAAACATTAATTAATATAATGAAGACATATGAGAAATATACAACATCATGCATTATTGATTTTCATTTATAATTTGTTTTTCGGAAAACCAATGCTTACTGCATGACTTGACTTGGCCAGGTCAAATTGCTCAGCACCAAGTTTGGAAGCCAAGTGTTTCATGGTCTTCTCTATAGAGCCCTGACGCTTTTGCACATCCTTCACAAGGTCTTTCAGTTCCCGGAGCTCTCTTAACAAGATGTCATTGGTACCCTCATTGGGGTCTTGCGTTTCATCGTCTTAAAAATACGAGATGTCAAAGTGAATGCTTATACCTCTCATACAAATAACTCTATACTGTTTATTTAGAATGATTATTTTTAATATTGCGTACCTTCGAACAAGCTTTGCGGGACGTTTCCTCGGGCATAGGGTCCTCTCGTCCTCTGGTTAAACATGACGTCGTCTGCGAGCAAGGCATTTCGGCTACAGAGTTTAAAAGGCATAGGCGTACGAGGCGGGGGGGCTGGGGGGGCTGCAGCCCCCCCAGTTTAGTCAGAAATAGTCGGGCAATTTATATTCACGAGTCGGGCAATTTATACTTAAGTGAATTTGGTCTCCACACTACATAAAAATTTTTAAGAATGCTCAAATATGGTAGAAAATGGTAGAATATATATGCTTGCAGCTTGCGTAAACCCGAATTAAAGAAAACGAAAATAATTGAAATAAACATGCTTTTCCGTTTGTGCCACTGGCTACCCTATGTGCCACAACTGATTGGCGCAGCAAAACTCACCATGTAGTTACGAAACAAATCTATCGTTCTGTAAGTTTGTAACTTTACTAACTTTTATAGCAACTGTGCAAAATTTAATCCGAGATTTAATCGTTGATAGACCTCAGAATCCTGACTTTATTCTGCAAAATCTCACGCGGAAAATGCAGGAAATCACATTTGCAGGTCGCTAATTTTCAAAAATTTTCGGGGGGGCATGCCCCCGGACCCCCCTATATAGTATGCCACACGCTTTCGGCTTTCGCATCTCGGCTCTCCAAAACACTGACTCTGGCTACGCCGCTGCCTAAACTCAGCAAAACGATTTCCCTTTCCGACTACGCGCTTCGCTATGAGTGGAAATCAACTTATCAAATTTCCTAAATAATGTGAAGGCAGTTAAAGTTTCGTCATAGTACCCAAGCAGAAAATTGTATTTCAGCGTTTATACGTTCCAAAATACCGGGGGAGCAGACCTCTGGACCATCCTTGTTTTTTTCGGTCTCGGCGCTCGTCGGGCAGAATATCCCCCGCCCCCCCAAAATTTCTAGGCCCGTACGCCTATGTTAAAAGGACATGTATATACAATGAAAACGAACTCCAGTTGTAAAATGAATTACACTTTTTGTCACCTGTTTGAAGGTCCAAATGTTCGTAGGTCGTTGTATTGTGCCATATCTTCTTGAAAATAGCTTGAAAACCTTCGCGTTTTGAAAAAAAACTAAAGCAAATAACTTTAATTGAATATTGCAGTCTTTTGTTACTGTCAAGCGCACTGGCACGGGCTTTGTTATTGTTTTGCATATTTTTAACCAATCAGGAAGCAGCAGCTTGATAAATGAACCAATCAAAATCTTTGAAATAAGCTGTAATCACTAATTTAACGCGGCGGGAAAAGATTGCAGCAAACCACTGAGCTATAATATAATTCCTGGAGGACCGGCCCGCGACCAAAAAGTGAAGCAAAAAACATGGCGGATTTTGGCGTTTGCTGACGCCAGATTGACGCCACTGGTTCCTATTCGCCATGGTAGTTACCACTGACCAAGGCTCAATTCTGCGCCCGCTACAAATGCACTCCCCCCTGGTTTTTGTTAAAAATAGTATTCAGTTCTCATTATTATATTTTACGAAAAAAACTTAATTAAACGTCAGTCGATATTTTTGAACTGAACACTTTTTGATCAGATATGTTCGACGTTTTTGTGAAGATATCAAAGTCGTACACGTTACTTCTGTCAAAAACAGGAAACAAATAACAGATAAATAATAAAGCTTCAAGAAATTTGCCGAAACGAAAATGCAGTACGTTGACTGACAGGTAAATATATTATTCATAAATTTCATTTTTTAGATAAAATTTCACCATTTTTTTTCGTTAACAGTCTTTAGATAGATGTCGTTGTTTGTATATTTTAATATTTGACCAAAAGACGGCGGCACGAGAAGTGAAATGTATAGTTTGAAGTTTGAACAACTACTAAAAAGATTACCCTATACTTTGGAAGTAATTTATTTTACATATTACATACATATATTACAGGCATTTTCTTCCAAAGAACGCTAGAAGGTAACATGATGTAAATTCAAATCCAAAGAAACAGAGACTAAGAATCATTGGGAGGATGAAGATGTGCAATTTCAACCAAGGGTAGCCTGCCTATTTGTTTAGCTGGATTTCATTAGCCAGAAGAAATAGTTTTTCTGTACTGAACTATATCAGCATATATGTATATTGATGAGCTTATTAGCTTAACCTATAAGGATGAACTATTAAATTGAAAGCTTCCAGCAGTCAGCACCATGCAGTGGTCAGCATTGTCTGACTGCACAGGCCATGCCTTTCCATGGTATAAAACCAATAATTATGGCCCTGTGCAGGTCATATGCTTTTCTATATTTGCAAATGATAATGCAGAGGCTGCATTAAGGAAGATTAGAACCAGGGATGTTTATAGGCCAAGATAGCCATGGTAATTATTATTGATTATATGCAAAAGGGGCTTACCACTTACCAGCTTCTCCCAGATTAGCCTGCAATGACTGGAAAGGTTCTTTGGAAATGAAATAAACAAAGCCTTACCAATTGTAATATTTATTTTCTTTTAATAAAACATTGTAATTTGTAAAAATAATAAAACAGTTTCTGTATTTAAGAATGTGTGTAGTTCCTGGGTATAATAGTATGGTTGTCTCAATTTAATTCTCCAGAATTTTGCATAACATGCCTCCACTTGATCTACCAAACCCTATGTTATCCCTGCAAAAAGAAAGATATGTCAGAGATTAACTGTATGTATATAATACACCCTGTAAGTGTTGACAAAATTAGTACAGATAATTTAGTGTCAGCTACTGAGGCCATGATGATGCCTCAGTTGGAAGTGTGAGTGAATTTAGGCAAGTTATTGTCAGACCTCGCTCCTTCAGATTATATTTTTGTTCCTATTGCATCCTTTATATACTTTGATCTAATATATCTTGTATGATTTTTCATGAAAAGATGGGCTATAGACACATTGACGATTGATCTGGTTAGACCTGAGTTTTGGCTCAACTACATGGATTTAAATCAGTGTAAAATATAATGGATAAACAAATATTAATAGAAATATGTTGTAGGTAAACAAATTAAATGTTAGTAAATATATCATTTCTGTTTTCAGATCTTTCATAGCCGTCGAACTACGAAGCTAAATTTTTTACTTGACGTTCAGAGTTCAAACATCAAAATTGCGAAAAACTCTTACCTGAGTGCAAATCGCCAAAAATTTCCTCTTTAATGAGTAAATTGCGGTAGGAACAAGCAGAGCAAATAGCTGCTTCTTTGTTGAAGTTGAAAAGAACCAGCAAAAAAGGAAAAAAATCCATGTTTTTGTTCAAAAACAAAAAATTTCGTAAAAACCAAATCCTGTTTTTATCGAAAACCAGGAGGGTGCTCGCATTTTTTCATGCTTTGGATCGCGGTTGGTCAGTGGTAACTACCATTGCAAATAAGAACCAGTGGCGTCAATCTGGCGTCAGCAAAGGCCAAAATCCGCCATGTTTTTTGCTTCACTTTTTGTATTTCAAAACATTAGGAGCCGGTCCTCCAGGAATTATATTATAGCTCAGTGCAGCAAACAATCAGTGTCGCGGGGAATTTGAATTAATCAGGGCGGACTTGGACGGGCTCAAAGCAATTAAAAATTTAGTTGATTTTACGCGTTTATTAGCGTTACAAAATGAAAAAAAGAGCCTGCCGACATCGTTGCGACACCTGTTTCGTTAACTTTGAGTCGTGGGACAGGTTTTCCGTGCATTTAACGTCGCGAGGACATCGCATGAAAGAGCTCGCAACTTCAGAAACGCAAGATATCCAGCTGGTTTCTGAACCATTTGAGAGTTTTTATAGTGATCTTACGAACAGCCAGGACGTTTCCTACGTTCCGGACTACGATGCTATGGACCTGAGCAGCTCCGAGAGTGAGTTGAGCGACATTTTTCAGGATCTTTCAAGCGACTCCGAGGAAAGCAGCAACGACGACGAAGAAAACGAGCCTCGACAATCCGAGCACGGCCGCGGATCATCTTTTCCATTTCCGTCGGATATATTTTTTTTGTTGTATAGCTATGTGCACAACGTTTCAAGGCCAAAGGTATTTTTCTGTAATATTTTTAGGATAGTAGATTTAAACTGGAATATTTGTTTTTGCCGCCTGATAAATATCATGTTGATGCAACATTGTTCGCTTAACAAGTTGATGACAACTTGCGACAACTTGTTGCATTTTACGCGTGTAATATGGGTTATTGAGAAGAGAGATGTCAAAATTCAAATAAGCATTATTAAATTATAAGCAGCATTATATTGCATAAGCGCCGTTTCTCAAAGCAGTTCATTTTTGAAAAATATGCAACTTTGTACCACTTTAACGTCTCTCTGAATAAAAGCAAATTTCACTTCAGCATTCAGGGCAGCTTTTGTGAGAAAGTTGATTGGTATAGTAAAAAGTCCCGTATAATTGTGCGTATATTGCTGTTACTTTTGAGGGTATGAGGAAACCTCGAATCTCTAAAAGAAGTAAAAACAAAAAACCGGAATCTTTGCAATGTCCAGGTTTTAGTACTTCCAGCTTTCGCGATTCCATTTTAGGGTCAGGGATTATGGCTATAGCGTTATCCACTTTATAGCCATTGATAGTGCATACACAGAAATCTATATATCCCTGCGTCTAAATCTAACGCAATAGCAATTCTTATAAAATCGACTGTCTACTTTCAGTCTCGGGCAGATTTGGATTTTCTCCGGATGATATTCAAGAAACTTCAGGCAGATGTTCCTTCCCTGAACTCCGTTCTTAATTTTAAAATCGAAGAAGCCGAAGAGTTGCTACAACCGCAAAAGGTGTGCGCGCAAATAAAATTAACCATTTTGAAAAACAATCGCATTCATGTGAGCACTTGTGGATACAATTTTTATGTAATTTCATCTTTATTTCAAGGATTATTATAACGGTAATCCATATTATTGGTTGCGGCCTTCAGATATCGTTCGACTTCAACTTGCGATACCAGCTAAAGCAAGCGCTCTTACGAGATACCCAGAAGAGACTGACACATACATTTATGAAATGCCTCAGGTTAGATTATCATCATAAAGTCATATGTATGTATATATATATATATATATATATATATATATATATATATATATATATATATATATATATATATATATATATATATATTTTAATCGCTCTATTAAATTTTGATATCGAGCACTCTTTCTTCTTGGATACTTTACTTAATTGTATATATATATATATATATATATATATATATATATATATATATATATATATACATCGGCTACATAATTATATTCTTAGTTATTACACAGTACTTTTCCTTTAAACAGGGACGCAAGTGGTTGGAAAATAATGACTTTCAAAGTTCATCAATTTCTTTGAACGGAGTGCTATATTTCCTAAAAGATATTGTGAGATTTTTGTTTAACGGAGATGTATACACAGGAAAGCTCATCAAGTTCTTCACTAAGGTAACTGGGTGATTTATACAGATAAATTTCATTATCGAATATAATTTTTTTTTCTTGCGGTCCGGATTCATATTTTAGCGTTTCATGCAATCTGATTGGCTACGCGAGCGGTCCGTATGAGGCCGTACGGACCGGTCGAGATTTAAAGCACAGAGCCAACACTAAAATATGAGTTTGGACCACAAGAAAAAAAGAAATCTATTATTTACCAGTTTAGTCGGTCTCAAAAACGTCCCTCGGCCTTCGGCCTCAGGCTGAAGCTATATCTATCAATAATTCAACATTTCATCTTATCTCAAGCACAGCATACTATTTAAACTGAATCTCGTGCTCATTTCATTCTTGTTCATACTCTCTCTACAGGTTGTCTCCAACGAAACGACGATGATGACGACGGTAGAATACATGCATGCATGATGAAGGGCATGGAAGTTAATGCTTATGTCCAGACACTAATGTGACCATCCCTACTTCTAATATCCGGACTAAAGTCGATCTTCATTATTTTCAAATCAAACATAAGTATGTTAACGGACAAGCCATGGCAGTATCTGTGCAGGTCAGTGTGTGGAAGCAATCACTGTTCTGAACCTCAAATATGTTTTCCGAAATTTGATGTTTGTTCGGTACTGTAATACTGCATTTGTAATGTAATTAAACTTTACTCACATGCAGTTCCCATTGTTTGAAAAAACACTTTTTACAGGAAGCCAAAGACGCCCTTCAGGTTCACATGGATAAATCACGAACAGGTGGAGAAAATCCGTCCTCTGTTGTCCCATTGCTCGTCTTCAGCGATGAAACAAGTGGGAACACTACGAAAAAGTGGAATCGGTTGGAGAGTTTCTCTATGAGCATGGCAGGCCTTACACGCAAGGAATTCCGTAAAATGGAGAATATTCCTTTTCTAAGCACTTCCAATATTGTTCCATCAGTTGCACTTGGGAAATCTATTGCCCGTGACCTAGAAGGTAGATTTAAAAGTTTAATGAAGGTACCCAAAATGTTTTGTAATGAGAAGTTCGAAAATGAGTGGTATTTTACTTTTTTTGTAGAACTAGAATGTGGTAAAATGATGTACGACGCTTTCGTCGATAGAGAAATTCTGGTGAAGTGCCCAGTATTGTGCGTATTGGCGGATAATCCACGCGCATCAGAGTTCGAACATCACTTGGGTAGCTGCGCAAACAAGTTTTGTAGAAAGTGTAATGTAAGTGTTAACTGTAGTTAAATGTGAACATGTGACGTCGTAGATAGCAAAAGGGTCAATCTTAAATCGAGGCACGATCACCGGAGTGAGTAAATTGTTCACTGTTTGTCTTCGCACGGTGCTTTGCAGTAAATACGTGCAATTTCTTTACGTGCAACTTATACCATAGGCGACAGCGAATAATGCAACGGGCATACAAGAAATACGAACAGATCAATACGTTCAAGAAAAGATTCAGGAAATACAGAATTGTCCGTATGTTCAGTTAACAGTACATATGTACCTGCATTATGAAGACTTATTATAAAATTCAACTTGTGTTAATGTACAAAATAATTATGTACCATCGATAGATCCGAAAATCAGAAAAAAGACAAAAGAAGTGAGTATGGAGTAACGGAAAAGGGAGGAGCGTTCGATATCCTGAAGAGCTTTCGTGGAAATAAGTAAGTACGCAAATACGATATGATAAAATTAATGCCGCTTTTACGGTTCTACGTCATGTTTTATCAATGACAGCAGACTGTCTCTACATGTACAGTGTAGAGTGTCACAGAGAACTTTTGCATGTACTGTTGCAAACAAATACAGTATAATATGCGTTCTGTTTTCATTTAGCAAAACCCCTATTGAAATATTACATACCATACTTCTTGGACCTGTTAAGTATATGCTGTCCGATACGATGAAATCCTTATCCCAGGGAAGGAAGGAGCAGCTGCATGCAAAGATACAAGCACTTGACATGAGCGCATTTCCAGCCACAATACGAGGGAACATCACGAGGAACTATGGTTCGTATGTTGGAAGAGACTTCAAGTTGTGGATGCAGGTTGCTGTATTTATCCTGGAAGATATCATCCCTCATGAACAACTCTTTGTCTGGGAATTGTTGAGTGAGGTAATCATATATTGTAAACAATTAAATATTGCATTCATATATTAATTATATTGTCTAATATGAAATATCATAGATTATGTTCTGTTTTCAATGTATATTCTGACAGATATTTGCATTGGCATATTCAAGTGGGTTCGACAAAAGAAATTCAGAAGGGGCAAAGCAGTTGTTCAAGACATTTATAGATGCAGTGACAAGAATTTACCCAGAGTTTTTGAAGAAAGCAAAACTCCATCTTCTTCTTCATCTTGTTGATGATATTGAAAATCTGGGGCCTGCAAATGGATTCTCAACTGAAAGGTAAAACAAGTAGATAAATAAGGACAGTTTTAGTTACAATTAAGTGACGGCCATTTGTAATATCTACTTGGAAACTCTCATTAGGCATCTCAAAGACATACTTAGTCTAGCTAACCTTTAACACCACATTTGATTTGCTATTTTAGATTTGAAGCCTTCAACCACTTCATCCGAGGCCTGAATGTCAACAGCAACAGACATGCATCAAGCTTGGATATTTGCACAAAATTTGCAAAGTTGGAAAAGCTTCGTTTTGTTCTAAGTGGAGGAAAATGGGGAAAGCATAATGAGTGAGTAACACTGACTGATATAGTTAGTTATCATAATTTCAGTTCAGTTTTAATACTAACTTTGTATTATGTTAAAGAGCTAGATTTTCTATTATATCCTCAGATTACAAGCATCAGAATCCATTATAACTTTGGCAAAAGATCCAACCTTGCAGCAGTTTCTGAACAACACCCCAAAGAAAGAAAGTATGGGAGATAAGGATATTTACCAGCCTGGATGTCTAAGAAAAGTAAACAAATTTTCATCACAAACATATATGCAGTAGGACCATTTTCAGGTGTCCTTAAAACAAATTTCTATCATATATTCCATACATTGAATTTTTTCCTTTGTTCAAGGGAAATTATCGCAAAGGAAAGCTGATGACCCAGCCTTTAAGTGAGTGCTTGGAAGAAGCCAATGTTGAAGCTGCTGGTCTTCTCGGCCATATGAAAGCTACACCATTCAGAGCTATCATAACAGAAAAGCAGACATTAGTGAATTCAGACTCACCAATTGTATACGTGGATGATCAGCATCAGGTATACAGTATTATGCAAATATGTCATTACATTAATAGTTTATGCTGTAGTTTCACTTTTATACTGTAGTTTGCCCCTTCTCTGGACATTTGAGTCTTGAGAGTATATATAGTATGTCCTGAATGTCTTCTAATCATTCATAATTCTAAAAAAATAACACAGGAGAAAACTTAAAAACATGTCAGTGGTAAATAGTAAACAATCCAGTAATAGTTTTTTTTATCAATTAACCCCAACTATTTATGAAGAAACATACTATCCATCAAAAACTAATTCTCACACATTAATATTTCAGCATCACCTTGGTATCTTCAAAAAAGGTCTCAAGGTAGAAAACAGAGAACTGGTTGCAGTAGAGACAATCAACTTCTGCAAGGATGATGCAAACAACCAAGTCTTTGGAAGTTTTCAATGCCCAAAGGTTGAAAGAACAGGCAGTACTATAATCTTATCTCCTGACCACATAATTGACCAGGCCTGCCTCATCCACGATTGCTCTAATGGAAACTGCTCCTTCAGGGAAACAGAATCAACAGTTACTGTTGAAAGAGAAGCGGTGAAAAAAGTATTGTATAACTTTATACATAACGAAAATCACCAATACTACTTGGTGAACAAGTTTTATCTTGGAGAAACTCTCAAATATTTTAATTTTGACTAATACAATTGTTCATTATTAAACGGTAGTATCTCAAAAATATGCAAAGCTAGAAAAACTGCTTGAGATTGACAGTGCAATCAATCATATTAAAAAACTTAAGATCAATGTTTTTTAAATATTGATCTAAATGTTCTCTAAAAATACGCGATTTAGTCTCGCAACCTAATTTCTATACTTTTCCAATTTTTAAAAAAATGCCATATATTCTTGTATGGGCATATTGATTTATATTGTTCGCAGTTTAGAGTCCGAAACTAAACATGTCAAAACCTCGAGACGAAAGTTTACATTTCGTCAGAGTAGTTTATTTTGCTTTGTTTCATATAAATAAACTTTTTGATACTCTATTCTATTTGAGGAAACGTTTGCTGTAAATAGTAAAACATAATAATCATCGTATTTACCTTTGTATTCACTTAAAAGGAACATTACAGAGATGAACAGTTATGTGCTTTCTTCGTTTCTTTTCATCGTGACATGGTCACATGGAGCTCCAGAAAATGGCGGAATATTTAATTCAAAAAGTCCCCCCCCCTGGAAAATAACGAAAGAACAATGTTGTCGCAACAACATTGTTTTGAGTTGTTAAAACAGCATTGAACATGCTTGTTGAGTCATCATTGTTCGCATGTGTTGACATCCAAAATTACGGATGATATCAGGTTGATTTGGGCTGTTGCAACAACTTGTTCCGGCCTTGTTCGTTCATCAACCGTAAACAACATTGTTCGAACAAGCGTGAACAATATTGTTAACAAGCCTTGTTGACAGGGTGCAGCACAACATTGCTGCAACCTGTTTTGAACAACCGTGAACAAGTTGATATCAACTTGCATCAACCTGAGCGTTTTTAGGCGTGTATATAAAAACTAAAGGCCGGCGCACACTAGAGCTATGTGCTTAGCAAAAAGTCATTCGAGGCCATTGGCGTAAGCCAGTTGCTCTCGTGTGCGGGCGACTTTTCCGGCGACTTTGGTCATTCGTGCCACTTACGGCAAATATCTCGCATGTTTGATAATTTCTGCCTCGCGTGCCAAAATCTTTCCGTGTGCGGCAAACTGAAAGCTATCTGCTTATGGATTGTCTTAACAACGCATGCGTAATATACGAAAGTAAACATCCAAGATGGCGTACAGATCGCAAAACAAAATTATGGATGAAAGTGAAGACGAAGAGGTGTTGTTATTTTTGTCGCTGTTGCGTCGGACTAGACTAAACACCATAATCCAAGTGCTATTAATTATATTACCTGTTTGAGAAAGCTTACCAGCTATTTCTGCAAAAGCGCATTCCCGTTTCTCTCTGTTTCTAAAATCTGTAGAATTCACATCGTATAAACACCTGTATTCTTGCTAAAATCAACCAGTTTGTCTTCCAATATGGCCTCAGCCACAAATTCGTTTTGCTTTGTTTGCACCGCTATCTTGGATGTTTACTTTTGTATATTACGCATGCGCTGTTAAGACAATCCATAAGCAGATAGCTTTCAGTTTGCCGCACACGGAAAGATTTTGGCACGCGAGGCAGAAATTATCAAACATGCTAGATATTTGCCGTAAGCGGCACGAATGACCAAAGTCGCCGGAAAAGTCGCCCGCACACGAGCGCAACTGGCTTACGCCAATGGCCACGAATGACTTTTTGCTAAGCACATAGCTCTAGTGTGCGCCGGCCTTAAAAACTCTCAGATTGATGCAAGTTGATACAAACAGGATGGAGCAATGTTGTGCTGCCCACATTGTTCAGAGTTGTTATCAAGATTGAACAATATTGTTGAAACTGAATCGGGTGTAACAATATTGTTCAATATTGATAACAACTCTGAACAATGTGGGCAGCACAACATTGCTGCATCCCGTTTATAACAACTTGCATCAACCTGAGCGTTTTTACGCGTGTATAATACTAGAAATACATCCATGCAACATCTCCTCGCCATTTTAAACGAACCAAATTATTATATTTCCTGAACTAGCCAGAACGTAGCC